GGAAAAAAGTTTGATAAAGTCTGTATCAAAGATAATGAACATGCTTTTTTCTCAGTATGTTTATATAAGCAGTAAAGACAGTACTGGCCTTAATGCTCTTACTGGGTCTCAGAGAGGGGAGGGGAGCCCGAACAGCATGTTCACATGGAGCATCGGATTCGACCAATAGTACTACTAGTCAAACTATGTATTTACCGAAGATGATTAACATTTTTTTTCAGTATGTTTATATAAACAGTAGGAAGTCCTGTTCTTCTTCGGCAAGGTGAACAAGTTTCAATCATGCCGTAAATATATGACCGTAATGAGAATTCATACCGAACTAGTTTTAGGGGATAGATGCACTAGAAGCGAAATATATGGAAATAATGGTGACAAAGTCTTAACCAAAGATGATGAACGTAATTCGTTTTCTCGGTATGTTTCTTTTTAAACAGTAAGGAATATCTTGGCCTTATTGCTCAAACTGCCAAACGGCATGCATGTTCACATGGATCTTCGGATTCGACCACTACCATTACTGGACATACGAACAGGAAGACACGTTGTACTGATAGCACGAAACTGACTGCAAGGATACCCATATCATTCAAGTTGTTGTCTGATGCTTTCATATATGTGCACTAAAACCGGATTATAAAAACAAGTTTGATAATGCTTTACCAATGATGAACGATTTTTTCTTTTCCAGTATGTTTATATAAACAGTGAAGAAAGTCTTAGCCTTGTTTGGCCACGTGCATAAATTTTGGTCATACCTCGCGGCGTGGCATACATGACCGAAATAAGAATTCATACCTATTACATACAAAATAAATTATAGGTGACGGTCGCACTAATAGAGGTTTGTGAATACAAGGATACACCTATTATACAATACAAATATTCCATGACAGTGTTCCATCTAAAGTACCTACTGACGCTTCTGATAGTGCGATAGATGGAGTTTATAGACTATCAACGGCAAACCCCACTACGTACAATCTTTAAACAAATGCTATATTAAAAGTCAACAGAACTACACTACCGTAAAACAGGAACTCTTTGCTATTGTTTCTTTGCTAAGGCAATTTAAAGGCTATCTTTACCAAAGTCATTTCTCCTTTGCCTGTGATCAAAAGTCCTCAACACACCACAAGGATATATATTCTTGATTTACAGTTAGTGAGCCGCTGCCATAACATTATTGTTAAGTTCTCTTTTTAAACACTACAGACATCCACGAATACAAAACTATCTTCCTGACATGCTATCTTGTTTATTTTCTGATTTTCAGACGACTGTAAAAGGGTTACAAGCTTCTGAGTGGATGTTTAAAACAAACGGTGGTCATTGTTTACTATACACATGTTTACTGTTCGAAACAACAAACAGGTATCGAATAAAAATCGCTGACTCACCTTAAAGGTGATGCTTTTTAGCTTGATCTCTCCAAGCATATTGCGTGTGTTAACCCACCTTGGCAACATGCACACCAGTTGTCAAATTATGCTACCATTAATATGTTTACTATTGGGGCGCCGTACCTTACGGCGCTTCGATCCTTGGATGCGCGAATTGTGATCGTGTTGGGTGGGGGGACTATAAGTAAAGGGGGAGTGTTTCTAAAGAGTTGTGCATTCGAATATAAGTTTTTTTATATATCTCGCCTCAGATATAAACTGATGGTATTTGTACTAGTGTTCTACCACTTAGATTGGCCAGGGTAAAATTTCATATGATCAGTATGAGAAACCTTATGCAGAGCACTTAGCCTCTGATAGATTTCTATTGATATATCACATTCTCTGAAACGTACTTTCAGTCTCGAGCCTCGGCTCTCGGCTAGCCAGTGGTCCGCCTATGAATTAAAATAATCTAAGAAGAAGTCTCAAATTACTTTGTACGTGCTCACAGGCTAACACACCTATACATAGATAAATTTGAGAACAAGCCCCAAATTACTCTCGAGTTGACGGCGTAAAACGCTATTAACGTAATTAGAAATATGTCCACTCCTGAAGTCTCTCATGAATCTACAACTGTGATACAAGACGAACCTATCTATTTCGATCGTGGAACTTTTTCAAGCATCTATTCTGCTAAAAAGATACCTTGAAAGCACACCATGGTTTGTCACATCGGTCTTGCACATATCGCTAGGTGGAAACCTTTGATATTTGCATATCCAAGACTAACGCAGCACAAGCACCCACCACCTATACAGTCGAGATGATATCTTTAGGAACGCGCTACGATCGTAAAATCATGGAACCTACTAAAGTTCATAGACTAACAACTCAAATCTCGACACAACGAACCAGAAGCTCAAACAAGCGCAGCTTAAAAAAACGACTAGGTGTTGCGAAACAGGGCTATAAACCAATATATGAATCGCGTGACCAGTATGGTAACCTCACTCTCCTAGAAACGGCATCGTGCGTTGTCGCATTCGCCTTTAAGTCTACTAGTACTAACTGTTGGCGTACGCTAGCAGGCTCGGTGGTGTTGGGTGCTTGTGGCATGGGATGGGTTCGAGGAGCTCGTGTTCTGTAGGGTCGATTGGTGCTGGAGGCGATTGAATACCGCCTATGTAAAGGCCCAGCCCTTTCAACATGTCTTGTCTCACTATGAAATCCACTCCCGTAGGTGGGTTCATAAGTTCAAGTGAAACGTCAAGAATCGTTGTTCCGTATCAAATGGACAACACTTTCGTCGTCCCCAGTCGAGGAGTTCGTACCTTCTTGTCTGACACTAAATAAAAGAATGACCCAGGTTGTGCTGAATTTATTGGACGTCCGGGAAGGGCTGCGGATGTCTGTGAGATGCAACTTCTGTTCGCCCCCGTGTCTATCAACATTGGTTTTTATTTGTATTTAAAATAATTTAATACAAGTTCTTTTTCCAATATTTCCAAAGTGTTCTAAATTCACTTTGATGGCTCCAATAGCCTGAGTATTTGGTATGACTCATTTACTTGGACCTATTTGAGACGATAGTAGATGTAGATATTATAAACTAAATATCTCTGAACTACTACTTACAGGTTTTGGTCTTCCCGCCAATCTTCAAAATCCAATAAGTCTTTTTCTTTTTGTAACTTTTTTTCAGATGGAACTTTATTTAAATTAGCTAATGTATTAACTTAACTTACGCTCTTATGTCTATCTAAAAATTAGACATGTGGTCATGAACACTTAGTACTTCTAGTAAAAATTATGCAATACAAAACAGCTAGAGGTACGTCCTGTGTGATCGGGGACATTAAGGCTCTTACCAAGTGGCAGTCCCGATCATTCTTACACAAGCTACGACTGCTAAATCCTAACTAACTTAAATTGTATCCTAGTTTATATAACATAGTTTAAAACATAGAAATGTTTATCGAAGTTTACACATCCATATACTTGCCCGCTAAATAGAAGAATGACCCAGATGGTGCTGGAGTAATTGGACGTCCGAGAAGGTCTGCGGATGTCTGTGAGATGCAACTTCTGTTCGCCCCCGTATCTATCAAGGCTCTGAACGTGCATCCATATACTTGCCCACTAAATACAAGAATGACCCAGGTGGTGCTGGAGTTATTGGACGTCCGAGAAGGTCTGCGGATGTCTGTGAGATG